CTGCAGACCCGCGCGGGCTCCGACTCCTGTTCTGTGCCCGGGACGGGCTGAGCTCACTGCGCTGGGAGTCTCTGTCCTGGCCCAGAGAGGGTGGGTGCCCGGCCGTCCTGCCCCATTTTAACTTGTCCTGAGATTTAATTTTCTATTTGTACTCAACTTTAATTCCCCCAGGGATCTGCTTCCTAGCCCTATACTCCTCATCTTTCCCCTCTTCTGCTACATTATGACTGAATTTCTCTGTTTTTCAAGCGGGGTCCATTCTCTCTTTCTCTCTCTGGTTATTTTTCAGCCAGCGTATTTTTCAGTAAAATCTTGTTTGTTTGACGGTGACCCCAAGGCGAACAGGTGGATAAATGGGCTCTAGGAAAGGGTGGGCAGCCTGGCCTTAGTAGAGAGAGGGTTTGCGGATTTTTCTACCCCCTGCAGAGCACAGGAGGGCTGCCCAGGCGCCGGTGTCTGCTCCCGTGTAAGGAGGTCCGTTAGTCCAGGCAGCAAGGCAGCAAGGAAAGCAGGACAGATACCGTTTAGGGGAAATTCAACAAAAAACGCCACACTTCTCTTTCTTGGGGAATTGGTGGGAAGAGGAGGGGGCCCGAGGAGAGGACAGAAAAGCAGATGCAGGGACTTGCCTTTTCTTCTTGACCGTCCAACTTGCCCAGGACTCAGGGCGACAGGCGTGGCGACATTCCTGTGTGGACAGGACGTCCCTCCTGCTCCGCGGCCCCCCAGCGCCACCTGGAGGAGGAGCCTCGTTTAGCACACCCGGGCGTGCAGCGTGGCCAGACAGAGCGCGGAGGGTCTACTTGTGCTTAAGACCCAAACTCGATTCCCCTGAGGTGTGTCTTTTTTTTTTTTTTTTACGTTTTCAAATATGTTTTGTGTTTTCTTCAATAAATTTTTCAGCTCCAGAATTTGTTTGTTTGTTTGTTTGTTTTCTTGTTTGTTTGTTTGTTTTTTTAAAGAATATCTATCCTTGGTAAATTTTTCATTTATATCCTCAATTGAATTTCTTTGTATTGTTTTTCAGATTTCTGTTGCATCTCATGGGTTTCCTTAGAATCAGTATTTGCATTTCTTTATCCAGCATAACAAGAAATTCTTTTTGATTAGGACCCGCTGCTGGGCAATTGTTGTGGTCCTTTAGTGGTGTCGCATTTCCTAGATTTTTAAATATTTCCTGTGTCCTTTTGTTTATATCTGCACATCTGATGGAGCAGTTGCTTGTTTGATTTTTTGAAATTGCTTTTCGAAGGGGAGAACTTTTTTCCTGAGGATGCACCTATGCTGTTGGTTGATTCTGGGTGCCTGCAGTAGTGTGCTCTTTGTATGATTTCTCAGGCAGTACACACGGTCAGCGATATCTGTGATTTCCTTGGTGGCTTAGGGTACAGCTATTAGTCGAGGCTGTGCTGAAGTTTTGCTGGGGACTGGAATACCACCTGCGCCAGTCTTTGGGCTCCAGTGGTGGTAGCAGCGGGCTGAGTGTGCCTTATCGTAGCCCCCAGGGCAGCTTACCCTGGAGAGGTGTTAGTGTGTCCTGGGGCCTTCAGATGGCTGGCTCAGAAATTAGTAGCTGGAGCAGAGGGACTGGTTTGTGGGTGGTTCTCGGGCCCCTGAGCAGCTGATGTGATGTGGGAACGTCAGTAGCAGGGGTGGAGCCACCCACTGGGACCCAAGCGGTCTGTCTGGGTGTTACCGGTAACTGCGTGGATTGGGGGGGCTGGTCCCCAGTCCCACAGCTGCCTGTGAAGGGGCAGTGGCTATTGTCCCAAGTGTGCTTTGGAGAGCTTCGTCTTTCCTGTTCTTTTCTGGCTGGTGGCAGCTCCTCAGCTGGACAGGGTTGCAGTTGCCTCAGCCCAAACTGAGCCCAAGGGTGGGGCACTTCCTGGCTTCAAACTCCCAAAATGGCACTTGGGCCTGTGACCAGAGAGGGTGGGGCCCTTCTCAGGAGGCTGCACTGGCAGTAACTGTGGGGAGTGCAAGAGCAGCTCACTGGAGACAGGCCCGCAGCAGCTGGCTGCAGGATGGTGGGCACCGTCCCAGCTGCAGGCTGGAAAGCCTGGTTTCCCTGCCCCTTCGCAGCCAGGTGGGGGCTGAAGCCGTATCAGCCCAAACCACCCTCCAAACTGAGATGGATCCAAGAGACCAAAGCACGACTCAGACGAGTCCAGCTTGGAGAGTTAGGTGAGTTTATTAGAGGTTACTTCCACAGGGTGCTCATTCCTGAGTGGCACAGGAGTTCTCTGGAGAGTAAGATCTCTCCTTCCTCCCATGGCGTTGCCTTAAGTCCCTGCCCAGCGAGTGATGCTGAGCTCTTTCATTGTGTCGTCCCATGTTCACGCTGAGACAAATTAAGCACACACATCACTATCATCACGTGCCTTCATACAACCCATGTTATGTTAGTCATATTATAACTCTCCACTAGGTGGTGATTTTAGTATCACAGTTAGCTAAAGAGTATTACAGGACAGCTAAAACAGTTGTGGGACAGTCAGGGCTGGTTTCAGCCAGTTGCCTCAAGAAAGTGCTGAGGAACACTTCTTGTACCTTATAGTTAAGTTATCGTTGGTATTTGTTTAGTTTGTAACAATTTTGTTGAGCACTGCTAGCTAGCACAGTGCTGCTTTTTGTGTGGTGGGAAGTTTTGTATTTTTCCCTCGCAAGGAAGGGACTGAGTGTAACTCGTTTCTATATCGCCAGGTTTCCTGCACAGGATGTGGCACATCAGAGTCCCAGGAGATGCTTGCTGGAAAAAAATATATGAAGAAATAAATCCCTGCCTTGCTCTAGGCTGATAAGAAGTCTCTAAACCTGCAATGGAGAACCCAGAACTTGAGAAAGTAAACCACAGAATGTATCAACTGTCTAAGGACCTTCACTGCAATCCTAACATGGATTCATAAAAGCAGCCATCATTAATGAGCAATGTTTTCTAGTCTCTGTATAGGCACGTGAGAATAATGACAATACTGGTAACCATAGCCCACATGGTTGAGTGCTAATGACATGTCACAATTTCACTTTGCACATCACATGTATTAACTATGTCGTTCCCTAGCAAACCCCTGTGAAGTAAATACTAGCATTGTCCTCATTCTATAGATGCCAAAAGAGAGTCATGTGGGTAACTTTTCCTAGGTCACATAGTTAATAGAGGCAGAGCTACAGCCAAATCCCAGGTTCCCTGGCTCCGGCACCTTCCCTCTTAGCTAACCTGCTTGCTTCCCATGAGAGTCAGAATATAATAATCTCTGATCATCAGTCCTCCAAACACCCTTATGAAGTAGACACCATTATTGCCATTTTATAAAAAAGCAAAGTGAGCCTCAGAGAGATGCAGTGACTTTCACAAGGTCACAGAGATAGTAATAGGTATATCC